CTAAACCCCTAAACCCCTAACTCCTCTTGCAACAGGTGCCATCCGCTACGGCGAGCTGGTGACGGCCGCCGGCACTCTCCAGCTGGGTGGGCCCTGCAAGCCGCAACAAGTTAGTGCTTTACTGGGTTCGAGAAGGGTTTAGGGTTTAGGGGTTACTGGGTTCTGGAAGGTTCCATAGGGGGTTTTATAGGGGGTTGCGACAGGTTCATCTGTTACTCAGGTTGTATAGTTTATGGTTTAAATGGTTTCCGATAGTTTCTGACAAAGGTTCGTAGATAATTATTTTCAGGTGTTTTGTTTATACAGTTTTAAAGGGATGGTTATACGGCCTTAATGCCTTATTTGTACGGCTGTACGAGTCAATAAGCCCCTGGCCAATGACCTCTAGTTGAAGATGTCAGTAGGTGTCCGAATAAGTTTATCGTGAAGCCTTGGCTTCTAAAGTCCTCAATTCCTAACTCCTCTAACAAGGTCTGTAAATCCCTAGAGTCAACACCGCTTACAGACTGTATCACACTTAAACCACTTGGAGGATCATGCGACTTAGTAAGTAAGGTTATAAGTACCCTAATTGGGGTTATAATTATAGTGACCTTATTTATAACCCTAGTTACTAAGTCCGATGATCCTCCAAGCAGCGGTGCATTCAGGATTTTGGCAGGCCAGCGATTGCTGGATCGCCACATCTACGAAGTGGTGCAGAGCGCTCTGCACAAGCGCATGCCTCAAGCACCTAGCGGTCGAGTTGATAGAGGTTTCGGGCCTTGTACTTTCTTCTTAGAGGTTTCCAGGCGGTTCTTTGAAGGTTGTTTGTCCGTGGTGCTGCGTTTAAATAGGATTTTTGCATGTGGCGGTTGGGGGTTCTGTCATTTTTGTTTTGTTTTCGGGGGGGGGGGGGGGGGNNGTCGGGCATCAGGGTTTATGTTTTAGGTGTGTGTCCCTGGGTATAGAGCGGAGTTCCACTGGTCCTGTAGTCAGGAGAATGTGCTCTTGGAGGTGTCAGGCTCTACGATACTACATGAGAGTGCAGAGGTTAGCATCCAGGGTCGGCTTTGGACTGTAGCAGCGAAAAGAAAAACAAGATCCCACGCGGATAGTATGAACCGCCGCAACAGGTTGGGGGCACCGCTACTATTGTTGCGAGGTTCATGTGTGCTCCATTTATCCCTGAGACACTGAACATCAAACAAAAAAAGTTTCTAAACCTAAACATCGGAAGCCGTAAACCCTGAATGATCCGAGGAGTTCGTGAACCTTAAGACCCCAAATCCTTACATGCCCAGATGAAGGCCCTCCATACAGCCCTATATTACCCACCAGAACTTCGTCAACAAAACCTAAACCCTAAACCCT